CACAGTGCTGGCCCCAGTCTATGCTTTATTAAGGAGATCTCAGTAATCATGTTCAGGTATTGCTGTCCTATATTCATGGCCAAAGTCCTAGCAGACAACATGGTTTGGAGAATCGTAAGCACAAGGTGTGTAGGAGACTTCATTTCTCATACAGCACAGTTAATAACAAGGTTCCAAGAGGGGAAATTACTTGCATCATAGTCTTTGAGAACTAATGGACATCACAGGTGATCTAAAGAATTTAGAAGGTTTGTGAGCCCCTAGAGTGAAAAAGTCACTGGGAGCACAAGGACGGTGCCTAGAATTTATTTTGATGGATTTTAGCCCCTTTCATTGGAGGGAGCCCCAAAGAAGCTGGACTGATTTGTAAACCTCAGAAGTGTCTTCAAGGTGAAGGCAAACTGAGACTGCGGGGTTTTTGGAAAAACTTTGAACAAAACACATTTGCCACACTTGGTTAAGACACATCATTTATCTATTGATTTTCATCAGATCTGTTAACATTAGGTATAAGGTACAGTGGACATGGTGGATGGTATATAGCAATATGATTTTAGTAATATATCATGAGGTGCTTTTTTTTTTTTTTACTGGATTTAGCAGGTAAAATTGGGCTACCTAATGGGATATAGCTGGAATAATCACCTTTTTGTTAAATAAATCTGAGGTAATAAATGTTAGTGTATGAAGACATTGAGTTTTCTTTTATTGGGCCTTCTTGGTTATTTTAATCTGGGATCTGCGAATTCTCATTTTCTCTAGGCAACTTGTAACTGAAAAAATTTATTTTATTCCTCATCATGTTGGACCAACTCTGCTGCTTCTGGGATTTTTTTAGTACATTTGACAATTGGAAATTTAGACAATAGTATAGTTAAAAAGAGATGTACCAAGTAAAGTATTTATTTTTATTCTGATACATATTTTGGAATTCTTCTAAAATTCCTGTTGAGTATCCTTGTTAAATTTAGCTGCATCCCAGGTTAAGACTTACTGGAGGCAGGCGCCATGGCTCAATAGGCTAATCCACCTGCGGCGCAGGCACACCGAGTTCTAGTCCTGCTGGGAGTGCCAGATTCTGTCCCAGTTGCTCCTCTTCCAGTCCAGCTCTCTGCTATGGCCCAGGAGTGCAGTGGATGATGGCCCTGCACCTGCATGGGAGACCAGAAGGAAGCACCTGGCTCCTGGCTTTGGATCAGTGCAGTGTGCCGGCCGCAGCATGCTGGCCGCAGCAGCCACTGGGGGGTAAACCAACAGAAAAAGGAAGACCTTTCTCTCTGTCTCTCTCTCTCACTGTCCACTCTGCCTGTCAAAATAAAAAATAATTTTTATAAAAAGACTTATTGAAGCCACTCTAGTGATTATACTCATGAAACTTTGTTAATAAATGCAAATAGAACCTGGGAAAATTGATGTATATCTTATGCTGTAGAGACTTAAGATTGAACATCTTTTTTTTAAATCTTTTTTAATTATATAATTTAAATACAAATTTTAGATTTTTTTGACTTTACTAAGCCACAGCTCTGGCCCCATTAATATGTCTTAACAATGTTTTTTCCTCTCAGACTTATCTCTATTGTTTCAGTTAACTGCATGCCTTTTCTTTACATTCAGATTCTCTCAGCTGTCAAAGCTTATTCATCTTAATTCTGTTGTTCCTATTTCCCTCCCTTTTATTCTGTCCCTAGGCTAATTGAGGTCATGATTCTCCATTCCTTCTGTGTGGTGTCACAGTAGCCTTGAAGTGTTCTTTTTCTCTTCTGATTTCTAAAGAAGGAAATTATGTATTCCCCCAGTTTAGATATTTTAATAATTCATTCTAAAACAAAGGTTAAATGTTCTTAATTTGACAAGAATTTTTGGGGCCAGTAGTGTGGTGTAGTGGGTAGAGCCACCACTTGCAGTGCTGGCATCTCATATGGATCCAGATCTCTGCTATAGCCTGGGAAAGCAGTAGAAGATGGCCCAAGTCCTGGGCCCCTGCACCCATGTGGGAGACCTGGAAGAAGCTCCTTGCTCCTGGCTTTGGATCAGCACAACTCTGGCCATTGCAGTCAACTGGGGAGTGAACCAGTGGATGGAAGACCCCTTTCTCTTCTCTGCCTCTCTCTGTGTAACTCTGACTTTCAAATAAATAAATAAATCTTTAAAAAAAGAATTTTTTCTAATTTTAGATTTGTTCTACTTCATTGCCACTTCAGGGTGTGTGTAAGGAGTGCATATCCAGTTTTTCTATTTTGGATTTTTGGGATTTTGTATTAGCTCTGCTGTGTATTCATTTTTCTCGAGCATTGGTGATATCTTCTCCTTAGTTGTATTAAGAGAGAGAGAAATAGCCCTCATGTCTTTGTAGGTAAGTAAGACATATTAAAAACAGAGCATTCAGTATACATTCATAGTATTTTGACTTGTTCAATTGATTTTACTGACCTCCCTTGGATATTCTTGGTCTCTGCTGTACAACTTTCTATACTCATTAATTCTTTGATATTCCCAAATCCAGAAAATGAATGATTCAACAGCTGTGTTCCTGTATTTGCTGGGACTCAGGGTAAGAAGCAAAGTATAGGTGTTCAGGAATCTAAAGTTACATGCTACATAGCAAAGCACATCATTTCCTATACAAAGTGACTGGGAAATCCAGAATCTTTTGCACACTATATTGGATCCTGAACTATTACTGAACTATTCAGTAAGATTTTAATGTATTTATTTTCTGTGTGTGTGTTTGTATTTCTAAATAAACTCTGCTGGGCTACTTAACATTAACATGTATTGCAGAATTCTTTCATCAGTTTTTACTTTTAAAAAGTTTCTCTTTCAGTTTTATGGGAGAGGGTAGAAGTTTTCTGCTATGTAACTGAAAATTCATGCATTCATTAAAGTTAAAAATATTTGTTGGAAATTGGTGGAATACTATTAATTCTCATGTGATTTACATGAAACTAAGTGCATTCTCTGTTTTGTTTTGCTTAAAATTTCTGCATGTGTGGACTTCTTTTTTCCTTATTGCCCCAAATCCCTTTGTGTATTGGGATGGAAAATGGGTTTTACACTGGACAAAACATGTTATTTTGGCAAAGAAGTACTTAGCCTTGCTGCTTCAAGTATTCAAATATTACATTAGAAATCAGTATATTTGTTTACTGTACAAATGTCCTTCATAAAATTTTGTAATGTTCTGGGATGGGAAAGGGAGCAGGAAATAGGAGGGTTATGGGTGCCAGGGAACTTATGGGGTAGGGGAAGCCACTGTAATCCAAAAGCTGTACTTTGGAAATTTATATTTATTAAATAAAAGTTAAACAATTTTGTAATCTCCATCTTCCTTTTTATTTCATCCTTTTTAAAAAAGATTCATTTATTTTACTTGAAAGTCAGAGTTACACACACAGAGAAGGAGAGAGAGAGAGAGAGAGCAGTCTTTGAACCACTGGTTCACTCCCCATTTGGCCACTATGGCTGGAGCTGTGCCGATCCAAAGCCAGGAGCCTTCATCTTCTTTTGGGTCTCCTTTGCAAGTGCAGGAGCCCAAGGGCCTGGGCCATCCTCTACTGCTGGATAGTAAGTCTTACTTGCCTAAAAAGCTGGATAGTAATTTGAGTAGCCAGGACTTGAACTGGCACCCATGTGGGATGTCGGCACTGCAAGCTACAGCTTTACTTGCTACGCCACAGCTTCGGCCCCTTTATTCTTATGACTATTGCTACACTATTGGAATTTATAATTGATAATGCTGAACAATTGAAACTGTCTTATTTACAATTGTAGGACTGGGTATGGCAGTTTTACTTGAAGTAAAGTATGTAGCCTGCTTATTGTATGATTTTCGGAAAAGCATGTATTTATATATAACAGCAGACTGTTAATCATTTAAAAGTGAATTATCATGATTACCCAGATGTAAAGAATGCAATATGTGCAAATGAGTTAGCAGTCACAGACATTTAGAATTAGAGGGATTTTAGAACCTTTTCAATACTAAAGTTTTTATAAAAAACTAATTTTTTTTATTTGACAGGTAGAGTTATAGACAGTGAGAAAGACAGAAAGGTCTTCCTTCCTTCCATTGGTTCACTCCCCAAATGGCCACCACAGTTGGAGCTGTGCCCATCTGAAGCCCAGAGTCAGGTGCTTTCTCCTGGTCTCCCATGCGGGTGCAGGGCCCAAGCACTTGGGCCATCCTCCACTGCCTTCCTGGGCCATAGCAGAGAGCTGGACTGAAAGAGGAGCAACCAGGACTAGAACCCTTTGCCCATATGGGATACCAGCACCACAGGCAGAGAATTAACCAAGTGAGCCACGGCGCTGGCCCCCGATAAATTTACTCTTAACAAAATATCTTACTCAGTATAAAGTTAGTAGTGAAAAAGAGACTACCTTGTTGAACACAGAAATTTGAGATTATATTTCTTGGTATTAATTTGCATCTTAAGGCTTATTGCCTAGTTTATTTCAATATTTCAATCTAATATTACTAATAATATCTTGTACTTAGTGGTTCACTGTGTGCAAGACGATATTCTTTTGATTTTTTAAAAGATTTATTTATTTGGAAGTCAGAGTTACACAGATAGTGAACAAGAGGAAGAGAGAGAGAGAGAGGTCCTCCATCTGCTGGTTCACTCCCCAGATGGCCTAAAAGGTCAGAGATATGCCAATCGGAAGCCAGGAGCCAGGACCTCTTCAGGGTCTCCCATGCAGATTCAGCCTGTTCTCGCAGGCTAGAGCAGAGAGCTGGATGGAAAGTGGAGCAGCTGGGACTTGAACCGGCCTCCATATGGGATGCCCACACTGCATGCAGTGGCTTTACTGGCTACACCACAGCACTGGCCTCAAGACAATGCTCTAAAATGATGCATTAATTATTCCCAAATATTGAAAAGTGGCATGGTACAGATTTGAATGTGCTGTTTTGTACTAGTTGTAGAAACAGTTTAAAATATATTTATATTTAAAAATATAAGCTTTGATCTAAAGTTTTACTTTACCCTAAGGTGCCTGTTTGGAAACTGAGATATCCTTGAAGTCTCAAGATAGAGTACAACTGATCTTATCCAAGCCTCCTTTATCACATGAGGATGCTAAATGCCAAGGCCCAGAGAAGTAAAGTGAATTGTTGAAGGTCACATAGGTAAGTTGTAGCAGGGATAATTCTGTATTCGCATTAGGTATCCTGATACATAGGCCACTGTTCTGTCAATTTCGTACTCCTTCTGGAGTTAAAGATTCTAAGTTGTGGAAAAATAAGTTTGGAAATTTAGTGGTTGCTATGTTGTTATGGTGAGAAATTTCTGTGTATAGCTATGAGTTGCTTAAATTTTATTCAATATATTTTTCTAGTATGTTTGCTATTTATTTGAAATGTATAACAAATAGCTTCATCTATTTGCCAAAAGAATTTTTTAAAGATTTGTTTATATTATTTGAAAGTCAGAATTACACACAGAGAGAAGGAGAGGCAGAGAGAGTGGTCTTCCATTCACTGGTTCACTCCACAGTTGGCCTCCATGGCTGGAGCTGTGCCGACTGGAAGGCAGGAGCCAGGAGCCTCTTCCTGGTCTCCTATGTTGGTGCAGGGGCCCAAGGACTTGGACCATTTTATAGTGCTTTCCCAGGCCATAGCAGAGAGCTGGATAGGAAGTGGAGCAGCCAGGTCTTGAACTGATGCCCCTATGGAATACCAGCACTGCAGGTGGCAGCCTCACCCACTATGTCACAGTGCCAGCCCTTGCCAAAAGAATTTATAGAAACCATTACATAAATACACTTAACAATCATTTAGTTACTTGACATGAACTATCCCTGCATATTTGAAAATTTTGAATGGTATCACTTGGGTTTTAAGAATGTTATATTTTAGGTCTCTTAATATTTTTAGTGATGATGTTTTAAAGGCCCTTTCTGTTTTATGAAAAATGATAGGGATTTTGTTTTACAATGGCCATAGTATTACCACTTAAAGCAATAGATTAAATAACACTTTTAAACAAAGTCATTTAATACTGAATTCTAACACACTGGTATATTTTAAAGTGAGAATCTGGATTTCTTTCAGATATTCTAAATAAGAATGATAATCAAAATTGAAGACATCTACAGTTTTTAATCACTTGTTTTAAATACTGGTCATAATGGTCCAATTTAGAGTTTTAATTTTAATTAGCTTTTAAAAGATTCAATATGGTTTATAGAAAAAATTCAGAGAACATAATTATATACTCAACCTCCCTCCCTTCTTTTTCCTTCTTGTCATTTTTTAGCTTATGAAATGACATTTTCAGTTTACGTTACATTAAAAAGGGTTGCTGAATCAAGGTACAAGTTTAACAGGTAAAAAGCAAAAAGATCCTAATTTAGAGGGAATACAGACAATGGCTCTAAACAATATTTGAATATCACATCTAAACAATATTTGAAGAAATTGATAAAATAAATATTTTAATTTCTCCTACTAAAGTGCTCAGAGAAAGTCTTTCATTATTTATCAAATATTAGTGCAAAAATATGGATTTAAATGATCCCAAAAAGTGATGAATTTTTGTGTAATAAAGTCCAATTTTTGTCAAGGCTTTTTGACAGTCTCACAGAAAACTTATGTTTGTGAATGGGAAGAATAATATCAAAATGTCCATACTACCAAAAGCAATTTGCAAATTCAATGCAATCCCAATCAACATACCAACGATGTTCTCAGAGCTAGAAAAAATGATGCTAAAATTCATATAGAAACATGAGAGATGCTTAACATCTAAAGAAATATTATAAAGCAAAAAAAAGCTGGAGACATCACACCATATTTTAAGACATATTACAGGGGTCAGCACTATGACAAAGCAGGTAGTCACTGTCTGCAGTGCCAGCATCTCATATGGGTGCCAGTATGTTTCCCAGCTGTTCCACTTCTTATACCCCTCTCTGGTATAGCCTGAGAAAAAAGTAGAAAATGGCCAAAGTCTTTGGGCCCCTGCATAGAGACCTGGAAGAAGCTCCTGACACTTGGATTCAGATCAACACAGCTCCGGCCATTGTGGCCATTTGGGGAGTAAACCAGTGGATGGAAGACCTCTCTCTCTCTGCCTCTACCTCTCTGTGACTCCACCTTTCAAATAAATAAATAAACTGCAAAAAAAAAAAAAAAACCAAAAAGAAGAAGTGTTAGTACTGACAGAATAACAGACACATAGTTCATGGAAAAGAATAGGTAGCATAGAAATAAACCCAAATTTCTACCAGCAACTCATATTTAACAAAGGAACTAAAATGAACTGGAGAAAGAAGAATCTCTTTCACAAGTGGTGCAGAGGAACTTGATGATCCAAATGTAGAAGCCTGAAAATAGACTCCAACATCTCTTACACTATGTGAAAGTGAACTCACAGTGAATTAAAAATCTAATCATAAGACCCAAACCCAAGTAAACATAGGGAAACTCTAAATATTGTCAACAGACAATAGCTTTTGGGTAAGATTCCAATAGCAATAGTCACAAAAATAAAAACAGAGACATTTGAGTATATCAAACTAAGATACTTTTTCACAACAAAGTAAACATCAGAGTGTAGATACAATGAACAGAATGGCAGGACAAATTAAAACTCTGAATGTTTACAGATTTCCAGAACATTTACATGAATTGGAAAAACTCCAAAAGATACAGTGAAGAAACAGGCAAGGACCTGAATAGACATTTCTCAGAAGAAATGTAAATGGTCAAAACATGTGAATATGCCCGATGTCACTAGCCATTATGTAAATATAAATCAGAACACCATATCAGTCTCCAACACCTGTGGGAGAATACAACACTCAGGTGTTTGTGTGTGCAGCAAGTGGGTTTAGAGGACCCTGTTCACCTCTGGAGAGCAGAGTCTACAGGGAGGGAAGAAACCTTACTGCTTTCCTAATGGGCTTATTAAGTTCTTGACCAGTGCCTGTTAGTCTTGCCACAAACTTTCTAGTCTCACTACTTTCCTTCTTCTTCCTCTTCTCTGTGACTTGTAAAATAGTATATATCCTATATACTGTGGATACTTTTGATTTATTTTATTCCTTCGGTCTCCTATGAAGTTCCTCCACAAAAGCGCAGCCCTCAAAATATTTTCATTTATGCAGTCTGCAGATTTCATGAGCTACTAAATTCCAAGTAGTATGTTAAAGGCAAGATCTAGGCCTAAGAGAAAAGTGGTCTGAATTCTGTGCCTAGAAGAGGATTTGGGACATAGTAGAACTTCAGTGAAGTGCTATGTGAATGACATGCACTCAGTAAATGAGTAATCTAAAGCATACACTGCATTTAAGCAACACAGCAGCCCTACTCACCTCAGGTAGAGCAATTGAGAGGAATAATGTGAACAAAAATAAGACATCAATAAGTTGAATAATAACAGAGAAAAAACAAAATGAGATAGATGCCAACATTACTGACCTATTTTTGAGGAATTAAATTGATAGAGGGGCTGGCATTGTGGCTAAGTGGGGTAAGCTGCAATCTGTGAGGCCAGCATATCATGTGAATTCCACTTTGAGTTTAGGAATCTCCACTTCCAATTTAGCTCACTGCTAAACACCTGGGAAACCAGCAGAAGATGGACGAAGGACTTGGGTCCTTGCCACTCACGTGGGAGACTTGGATGAAGCTCCTGACTGCAGCATGCCCCAGACTCAACTGTTGAAACTCTCTGGGGTGTGAGCCAGCAGATGAAAGCTATCTCTGTCTTTCCCTCTCTCTCTAAATCCACCTTTCAAATAAACAAAGATTTAATAAACAAATTAACTGATTTCAAAATACACAAAAACATGAACAATACTATATCATCTTTATGCCAAAATGATAAAAAATAACAAATGCTAGAGAGCATATGGGAAAAGAAAACCTTCATATATGGTGGGTGAAAACACAAATTAGTACAGATGTTATGCAGAACAGTATGGTCATTCTTTAAAAAGGATAAAAATTGGGGCCGGCACTGTTGTGCAGTGAGTTAAAGCCCTGGCCTGAAGGGCCAGCATCCCATTTGGGTGCCAGTTCTAGTTCCAGTTGCTCTTCTTCCAATCCAGCTCTCTGCTATCTCCTGGGATAGCAGTAGAAGATGGCCCAAGTCTTGGGCCCATGCACCCATGTGGGAGACCCAGAGGAAGCTCCTGTCTCCAGGCTTCAGAATGGCATAGCTCTGGCCTTTGTAGTCATCTGTAGAGTGAACCAGCTAATGGAGGACCTCTCTGTGTCTCTAACTCTATTGTAACTCTTTCAAATAAATAACAAAAATTTAAAATAAAGATAAAAATTGACCTACCATTTGAGAGTTATCTTGCTCTTGGCTATATAGAATAAGGAAATTTTATTAGAAGGAAAGGAGAAGAGCATATCAAAGATACAGCAATTTTCCCATAACACAGCCACTATAACACAGTTCACTGCAGCCAGGATTTGAAACCAATCTAGCTGTCCATCAATGAAAAAAACGGACAGGGGAACTTCATTTAGATACAAAAAAGAACAAAAATATTATTAAATTAATTGAAATAAGTCAGAAGCAGGAACACAAATGTCACCTGGCCCTTGTCACATGTGGAAGTGAAAGAAAATAATGGATCTGAACAGAGAACTGTGGTTGTTAGAGGCTGAGAAGGGAAGCAGCTAGGGATAGAGGGGGATTAGATAATAGGTAACAAAATACAAAGAGGCAGAAAGAACTTCTGGCGTTCCATAATATAATGAGATGACTACATTCAACCATATTAGGTTCTGTGTAAAGAACTGAAGGAGAGGAGCTGGTAGTCTCAAATCATGGAGAAGAATTAGAAACTGTAGTTGCTTGGGGGCCAGCATTGTGGCACAGTGGGCTAACGGCCTGGCCTGAAGCACCAGCATCCCATGTGTGTACCAGTTCTACTCCTGGCTGCTCCTCTTCTGATCCAACTCTCTGCTATGGCCTGGGAAAGCAGTAGAAGATGGCCGAAGTCCTTGGGTCCCTGCACCCAAGTGGAAGATCTGGAAGAAGCTCCTGGTTCCTGGCACCAGATTGGCAGAGCTCCGGCCATTGCGGCCATCTGGGGAGTGAACCAGCAGAGGAAGACCTCTCTCTCTCTCTGCTGCTACTTCTCTCTGTAACTCTGTCTTTCAAATAAATAAATCTTTAAAAAATTAATAAAACTGTAGTTGCTTAGCTTGATCAGTTTTTACTGCATAAATGTGTGCAAATATTGCACTACACCCTGTAATAATGCATGACTAGTACACATTAATCACAAATTATTTAAATGAAATTTTAAAAATTAGAAGCATTTCTTTATATTAACAATGAACTATTTGAAAATGAAATTAGAAAAACATTTCCATGCATAGCAGCATAACAACCAGGAACCAATGTCTTCAGTGTTATCAGTGATGAATCAGATTCACAGCCCTCAGCACTGTTTTTGCCATAGACCTTACCATGGCAATTGTGGGCATATAGTAGTAAATCAATGGGCAGGAATCCTTTGTCTCTAAATCTGTTAAATAAATAAACAAGGAATTCATCAAAGAAAAAGAGATATCAATTTGGATGCCAGGTCACAAAAACACATGCACTTGAGCTATCCTCCACTTTGTGATGCCAACAAATCTTTCAGACGTGTTACATTTTCAGAGACTTTTCTGTAATCTTGCTAAGCTTTCTGGAAATCTGCCTTATAGCAAAGGGTTTCCCAATTCCATTACACTCATGATTTTTCTTTTGTGTGATATATTAGTTTACCATCTAGAGATAATTTATGGTACAAAACTTTTGTATGCATGCATGTTTTCTCATTTGTGAGTCTATTCATGGGAATTGAAGACTGATTTATAGCAGAAATACTTTTTCCAAATTCATTGCATAGACTTTTGTTCCTTATGAATTCTCTGAAGTCTGTTGATGTCTAATTTCTGGCTAAAGGTTTTATCATATTTACAGCATGCAAAGAATATCACCTTTTGAGAATTCTGTATCTATATAAGCCTGAAATAAAGAAAAGGTTTTTACACAATCATTATACTCCTAAGAAACCACCTGTGTCAATTCTCTGATGTACCATTGACTTCTGACAAACAACCTTTTCACACTAATAATATTTATAAGCTTTCTCCTTTACATGAGTCTCTGTTGGATAGGATGTGATTTCCAGCAAAAGGTCTTGTCACAATACTTACATGAATTTTGGAGAAAAGCTCTTCCACATTCATTATATTGTTAAGGTCTCTCCCTTGTTCAAATTCCATGATGGATTATGAGGCATTACCTATGTGAAATGACTTTCTCACATTTATTTCATTCATTAGATATATATGTTGTGCATGCTGATATAAGGAGAGATTTGGGCAGAGCTTTCCAACACTCATTACACCCATAAGGTTTCTCTCCCATGTGAATTCCCTGTTGTCTTATGAGGTATGGCTTCTAATTAAAGGGATTTTACTTTCAAAGGAGTTTTTCCCTTTATGAATTTGATGATGTACAATGAGGGCTGAATTATGGTAAAAGGCTCTGAGTCATTACATTCATATAATTTCTCCCCATGAGAATTCTTTTATGTTTGATGAGGTCTGATTTGCACCACAAAGGCTTATTCACATGTATTACATTCATGCATTTCTCCCCTTGATGAATTCTCTAATATTTCATGAGATATAACTTGCACAAAAAGGTCATGTAGAAAATTCCCTGTATGAATTCTCTGATATCTTATGAGTTATGAAGTACAGCAAAGAGACTTTGCACCATCCTTCCATCCATAAAACCTACCTAAATTGAGCAACAAAGATATAGAAAACCTAAACACACACATAACCGGATGGAAATGATATCAGTAATAAAGACCCTTGCCGCCAAGAAAATCCCAGGACTGGATGGCTTCACTGCTGAATTCTAACAGACATTTAAAGCACTAACTGCAATTCTTCTCAAGTTATTCAAAACAATTGAGAGAGAGGTGATTCTCCCAAATTCTTTCTATGAAGCCAGCATCACCTTCATTCCTGAACCTGAAAAAGTGCAACAAAGAAAGTAATTATAGACCAATTTCCCTGATGAACATACATGCAAAGATCTGCAACAAAATTCTGGCCAATTGAATCCAACAATGTATCAAAAGATCATCCACCCAGACCAAGTGGGATTTATCCTTGGTATGCAAGGATGGGACCAAAGGCTTTTCCACAGTCATTTCATTTATAAGCTTTCTCCATGGTGTGAAGTCTCTGATACTTTCTGAGGTTTGACTTCTCAGCAAAGGTTTTTCCACAGTCATTGCATTCATAAGGTTTCCCCCCAGTACAAATTGTCTGATGCTTTGTGAGCTTTGACTTCTCAGCAAAGGCTTTTCCACAATGATTGCATTCATAAGGTTTCTCCCCTGTGTGAATTCTCTGATGCATTTTGAGTTGTGATTTCTGGCCAAAGCTTTCTCCAAAGTAATTGCATTCATAAGGCTTATCCCCTGTGTGAATTCTCTGATGATTTATGAGGTGTGGCTTCTGGCCAAAGGTTTTTCCCACAGGCATTGCATTCATAACGCTTATCCCCTGTGTGAATTCTCTGATGCTTTCTGAGGTTTGAATTCTGGCCTAAGGTTTTTCCACAGTCATTGCATTCATAACGCTTATCCCCTGTGTGACTTCTCTGATGATTTATGAGGTGTGGCTTCTGGCCAAAGGGTTTTCCATAGTCATTGCACTCATAAACGCTTATCCCCTGTGTGACTTCTCTGATGATTTATGAGGTTTGACTTCTGGCCTAAGGTTTTTCCAGTCATTGCATTCATAAGGTTTCTCCCCTGTGTGACTTCTCTGATGATTTGTGAGTGTTGATTTCTGGCCAAAAGCTTTTCCACAATGATTGCATTCATAAGGTTTCTCCCCTGTGTGACTTCTCTGATGATTTATGAGGTTTGCATTCTGGCCAAAGGATTTTCCACAGTCATTACATTCATAAGGTTTCTCACCTGTGTGAATTCTCTGATGATTTATGAGGTGTTTCTTCTGGCCAAAGAACTTCCCACAGTCATTACAGTTATAAGATTTCAACCCTGTGTGAATTCTCTGATGTCTAATAAGATCTGACTTCTGGTGAGTGGTTTCTCCACAATCATTACACACATGAGGGTTTTCCACTATATGAGTGCTGTGATGGAGGGTATGGCAGAATTTAATACTGAATGACTTCCCACAAGGTTTACATGCATAGGATTTCTTCCCTATATTTGGTCTATGATTCAGTCTAACATGTGATTGGTAAATGACAGGTTCCACAGGCCCAATATACTTATAAACGTTCTCTCTTTTGGGACTTTGTTGATGTATACTGAGGTTAGAATTCTTATGGAAATCTTGTACTATTTGAGTTGTCTTGTCAATAGTGGCAGTTGACTTATTACAGGTTTCTACCATAAAAAGCTTCTCAGATTTACAGAATATATTCTTCCTTTTGAAGACTTTCCCTTGTCCAATTTGTTCAAGTGCCTGCTCCATGGTCTGAATTTTGTGCTGTTGATTAAGAGGTTCACAGAACTGGAGAGTGTTCCCAGGTACCTTAGTAGCATGAAATTTGTCTCCAGCTTGTAGTTGATCAGGCCCACAATGGGGACACACATTGTGACATATACTGCATTCTTCAGGTTTTATTCCTGAATAGTTTCTCTTTTTGATACTCAGTTTTGGAATATGGCTTATACTTAAATTAAGGATTTTCTGAATTCAACTCCCTTGGAAGTTAATGTCTTATTGTTTTTCATAACATCCTGATTCAGATTTTTCTCCAGACTTTTCTGGTTGGTCTTAATTAGTTCATCCAGTTTCATGGCAACTGAAGTGAGAAAAAAAATGATGTCACTAAATCAAATATAATTGTTTCTTCTGGCATACTCATGTAAAAGGAATGAAGTTACTTGTATTTAAGAGGGATAAGATGTTAGGAAAAGTTCTGCATTGGTGCCTCCTCACACAGGGCACCAAAATGTTAGGAAGAGAGTTGTAGAATAGAGGAGAAAGTGTATGAATTTACAGCCAGACAGAATTTATTCAGAGAAAATTAATCCACAGAGGTGGGTGATCAACTGCCTGTGTGTACAAGATGGAGCATGAAGGCCCCAACTCCCAGGGCCAGACCTTTTTAAGGAGGGCTAAGGCTGGGCATGAGGGTAGGGGGCAGCAGTGGAGAGGAATTCCAGGAACTGGGTAGGGGCCTAAGGAACCTGGAAAATAATGCAGGGTGGGGTATGAAGGCAATAGGCTGTGAGACCCAATTGAGTTTCAAGGGCAAGGAATACATTCCAGTTTATCTACTTTGGGCAATGAGGGAGAATGGCTCAGGCTTATATCCTCATTCCATCATAAGATTTTAAAAAAATGATTAGAAGATACATATTTATGAATATACAGGTTTTCTCCATAATACATTAATATATTAAATTGTATCCATAGATTTTCCAATGTTCATCCATGATCCTGTTTACTACCAGAATTTTTTCCAAGTATAATTGAATGGTTTTTGTGGTAAGGTGTCTTAAGTCACTGTTTGGGATGCCTGTATCTCAAAACAGTGCCAGTTTAAGCCGAGGCTACTCTGCTTCCAATACAGCTCTGAGATAATAGATACTGGAAAGCAGCAGATAATGGTTCATGTGCTTGGGACCCTGTGGTAGAGTTGAGTAGGTGAAATTCCAGGCTTCTGGCTTCAGATTAGTCATAACTGTTGATAGTATTTGGGGAGAGAGTTAATAGAAAATCTATTCCTCACTGTTTCTCTCTCACTTTCTACTTTCACAAAAATGAATAAGACTTCACAGAATGGACTAATATTTAATAAATATATTCACCTGTAATCTAGAAACCAATTTTTCCCTGTCCATTTTTTCAGTTCATTTTTTAATGTATTTTTTATTTCTTTATTTGTCAGAGTTAGACAGTGAGAGACAGAGACAAAGATCTTCCTTCCATTGGCTCACCCCTCAAATGGCAAATACGGTTGGAACTATGCCAATCCCAATCCAGGAGCCAGGTGCTTCCTCCTTATCTCCATTGTAGGTGCAGGGGCCCAAGCATTTGGGCCATCCTCCACTGCCCTCCTGGGCCACAGCAGAGAGCTGGACTTGAAGAGGAGCAACCAGGACTAGGACCCGGGGCCCATATGGGATGCTGGCACTGCAAGGGGAGGATTAACCAAGTGAGCCACGGTGCCAGCCCCTTTTTCAATTCATTTTTAGAAAAATTGTGGGTTTTGTACTTCTGTGCTATTTCAACCATAAACATGGGGAAGTTTTACTAGATCATTTCCTTGAAGGTGAAGAGTGAAATGTGTCTATACTCTAAGCAGGATCACATTCATGGGACAAGATTTGAATATGTGGTTGTCTTGTGTTCTGTCTTCCCAGGCAAACAGCATTTGTGGGATTTTTCTAATGAAAATCTCTGTTTTATCTGCACTCTTACAATTTCCCCATATTTCTAAGGAAACCTGACATCCTAAACTTCTTAGAACTACAACAGTTACAGAAAGTCCCAATATACCACCTTGGCTATACATTCTCACCAGTTGAAATAATTTGTTTCTGCAACCCAGAGTCTGCTCAATTATTGAAAATTGATTTCTAACTCATTGTGAAGATGTCAGCCCTGGTTACCTCCTCTTGTTTCTTTCTATAAACACTCCTCTGTGATAATTTGAGTTTCTGGAGTTTTTTGATCAGTTGTTGATTTTCACAGAAAACTTCATTTCCTTTGCCTTTACCAGAGATACTGATCTCCATAGATACTGTAGAATGTCTGTGTCTGAATCACAGGACCAGCTGTCTTCAGGAGTAAGACTTGGGAAAAACTCGTGGAAAGAACACCAGTCAACATCTGTTGCACTGCTTCTACTTTGGCCTCCCTGCCTGTTATGTACACACTGACCTGGAAGGCTCTGATGTAGGCATTCTTCCCCCATCCAGGGCTCTGCTCCTTGCTCCAACTTGAAGATCAAGTCAGGTTTGGTCATGCAGTGCCCTATTAATGGAAACAATATAGACTTTGTGAAATCACTATCTTGGGTTAATTAAAGGAGTACAGCTTGGTCCAGGAGCTATGCAACAAATGTTCCAATTTGAAATCCTTCCCAGGTGGTAGATATTCAGATTCTTCATGGACTCAAATTCTATACCTGTCATTCATTCAACTTTATGAATAGTGCTCACTTATTTGTCAAATAGCAAGAAAATGTTACCATTGGGCATGTCATGAGTGTCACTCACCCAGGGAGAACAGGCTGCTGTAGGTCTCCAGCATCACATCCCTGTACAGGATTTTCTGAGCTTGGTTTATGTTCTGCCATTTCTCCCAGGTAAAGTACACAGCCAGGTCTTCAAATGCTATCATCACCTGTGACAGAACACTCCTGGTCAACATGTCAACTCTGTCACCTAACAAACAATGGCAGTTGTATATCTTCTACATGGGTATGGATGAAGAAGCAAGAATGCCATTTCATTTCAGATTTGTGAGCATTTGGACAGCCACACAGAAGCATTCAACAGGGGATCAAACGTATGGTATAAAGGCTGTGAAAAATGCCCAAGCTGGAGGGAAACAGGAATTTATGTTCACAAAGGCCAGACTATGTCAAGGGCAATTGCACCGTAGGCTGAAATGGGGACAAGAGCCACTCTGGAATGAGCAATGTTCAGAAGAATGCAGAAGTATACAGGGAAAAAGACAAGAAACCATCAGGGAAGTTATGAAGGGATTGAACAGTGAAGATTTTCCAGAAGAACACTATACACAGTCAATGCAATTATGGCAGAGAAAAAAATATTTTGAAAGAGACAGTAGGCATTTAATGTAGTGTTTATGATGCCAGCTCAGATACTCTATCTCTGCATCAAATTTACAAAGTTGGATTTCAGTGCCAGCTCCAGTTTCCAGCTCCCAGCTAATGCAGACCAGGGGAAGCAATGGTGATGCCAACCAAGAGGGAGGCCAAGATTCCATTCCTGACTCTTGGCTTCAGTTGTGCCCCACCTCTGCTTGATATTTTTATTTAGGCAGTGAAGAAGTGCATGGGAGCTCTCTAGCTTTCTCTCACTCCATCAATTTCTTTCTCTATCAGGCTCATAAATATTTTAAAATAAGGGAGGAGATTCAAGAAAGAATAGAAAGTAGCTTTTGCTTTTTCTATAATTATTCTACTCATAAACATTTAAAGAACTGAAATAACATTATAACAAATTAATGTAAAAGCTATGGAGTTATTTACCCAAGAATAGAACCTGAGAAATTCTGTACTATAATCTGCATTTGTGACTGAGGGAAATACAGAGAGATTTGTTTGAGAACCTGCAGTAGGCACCAGCATTGTGGTACAGCAGATAAGTCTCCACCTGCAATTCAGGCATCCCATGTGGACAATTTGAGTCCTTCGTGCTCCACTTCCAATTGAGTTCCCTGCTAAAGTGCCTGAAAGAGCAGTGAAAAATGGCCTGAGTATTTGGGCCAATTCCACAAATATGGGAGACCCAGATAGAGTTCCAGACTCTTGGCTTTGGCCTGGCCAACCATTGTGGCCATTTGTTGAATGAACCAACAGATGGAAGATATCTCTTTCTCACTACCCATCTCTCCCTATCTCTATTACTCTGCCTTTCAAATAAGTTAATAAATAAACCTTGGGGCTGGCACTGTGGCACAGTGGGTTAATGCCCTGGCCTAAAGCACCAGCATCCCATATGGGCACCATTTCAAGACCCAGCTGCTCTACTTTTGATCCAGCTCTCTGCTATGACCTGGGAAAGTAGTAGAAGAAGGTCCTTTGAAGCCCTGTGGGAGACCCAGAAAAAGCTTCTGGCTCCTGGCTTTAGATTAGTGCAGCCCGGCCAGTTCAGCCAATTGGAGAGTGAAATGTTGAATGAAAGATCTCTCCTCTCTCTCTCGCTACCTCTCCTCCCTCTGTGTAACTCTTTCAAATAAATAAATAAATTGTTAAATAAAATCTTAAAATGTAAAAGAACATGCAGTAGATTATTTTCCCCACAGTGTTCTTACTCTAGCTGGGAATCAAGTTCATCTCTCAAACTATTAAGGACTGCATTACTCTAACAATTAAAAAAATAAATGCAAATAATTTGTGGTTTAGACCTAGGTAACTCTTTCTCTTGCAGAATGCTAAGTGTTTATTTCCAGGGTGGCACTAGAACACTGTCCACTGCATCATCTGTATTACACTAAAGACTGTGTTGGACATTATGACCCCCAAATTTAGAATATTGTCCTTGAAGCTTCAATTGAAATCATATAACAAATATATATTTTGCTATGGAAACAGAAAATGAGAGACGACATTGCCTTTTCTTGGATAAATGCAATAATTGATAGTCATGTCAAATTCTTCATACATCTTGTTTCTCTATATTTGCTGAGAATAAAATTTACCTTCCTTTATCCATTTTCATAAATAAATTATTATAAATCTAAAAAGAACACAACAGAAAGCTGGGAATAATTAAGAAAACCACTTACAGGGGCCAGTGTTATTGCACAGTGGGTTAAAGCCCCAGTCCACAGAAACAGCACCAGATATTAATTCCCACCAAATCAAGTGTGAGTGTGATTTTCAGGTGAATTCAATCAGAATTCCACAGGCAGTCAGCTGAGAGGGGTGGATGAATCCAGAAACAGCCGGTTTCCTTGGGACTAAATCAAGCCCAATATCACTAAAGACTCTTGCATTTCTTTGGCATTTTTCACACTTTTCTTACTTATCATGGTTTGTAATGAATTTTCTGATGTGAGCTTTGGTTTTGAGGCTGGAATATGGAGTTCAGGGCATGGGAGGAATGGCCATTTTCAATCAAGGCACAGCTGTTGGCTTGCTCCAATTCTGGCTTTCTGTCATTGTTCTGGGTGCCTCAGCTGATTTTTGGTTTGTTGAGTGGCAATTTCCTAAATGTTTTCTGGGTCTTATTTGGTTTTGCCTTGTTGCTCCCCAAATATTGTATTATGACACAGTACAAACAAGAGTTCAGACAGAGTAGCTATTATGAAATAAAAAAAAAACAAACTGGCATTTCATGCTTAGAAATCTACAGACAACACAGTCAAGATGAGTTTTTGAGTTTTGGAAAATGAAATGGAACCCTTTGGCTGAGGGGAGAGATATTAATTCCCTCAAAATCGAGTGTGAGTGCGATTTTCAGGTGAATTCAATCAGAATTCCAGAGCCAGTCACCTGGGAGGAGTGGATAACCCGGAAACAGCTGGTTTCCTTGTGACTAAATCAAGCCCAATCTCACTAAGGACTCTCACATTTCTTTGGCTTTTTTCACACTTTTCTTACTTATCATGGTTTGTAATGAATTTTCTGATGTGAGCTTTGGTTTTGAGGCTGCAATATGGAGTTCAGGGAACGGGAGGAATGGTCTTTTTCAATCATGGCACAGCTGTTGGCTTGCTCCAATTCTGGCGTTCTGTCATTGTTTTGGGTGCCTCAGCAATTTTTGGTTTCTTGAGCGGCAATTTTCTAAATGTTTTCTGGGTCTGAGTTGGTTTTGCCTTCTTCCTCCCAAAATTTTGTATTATGACACAATACAAACAAGAGTAAGACAGAGTAGCTATTACAAAATAAAAAAAATGGAATTTCATGCTTAGAAATCTACAGACATCACGACCAAGATGAATTTTTGAGTTTTGGAAAATGAAATCGAACCCTTTTGCTGAGGGGACAGATAATAATTCCCTCCAAATCGAGTTTGACTGCAATTTTCAGGTGAATTCAACCAGTTTTGCACAGGCAGTCAGCTGGGAGGGTTGGATTAATCCGGAAACAGCTGGTTTCCTTGTGACTAAATCAAGCCCAATATCAATAAGGACTCTTGCATTTCTCTAGGATTTTTTCCCACTTTTCTTACTCATCATGTTTTATAATGAATTTTTCTGATGTGAGCTTTGGTTTTGAGGCTAGAATACGGAGTTCAGGGCACGGGAGGAATGGTCTTTTTCAATCAGGGCACAGCTGTTGGCTTGCTCCAATTCTGGTTTTCTGTTATTGTTTTGGTTGCCTCACCCGAATTTTGGTTTCTTGAGCAGCAGTTTCCTAAATGTTTTCTGGGTCTGAGTTGCTTTTGCCTCTTGCTTACCAAATTTTGTATTCTGATGCAATGCAAACAAGAGTTTAGACAGAGGATGCATTATGAAATTAAAAAACACAATATATTGTCCTTACATGCTTAGAAATCTACAGGCAACATGACCAAGATGAGTTTTGTTTTCTGGAGAAAGAAATGGAACACTTTTGCTGATGGGACAGATATTAATTACCACCAAATCAAGTTTGACTTATATTTTCAGGTGAATTCAATCAGTTTTCCACAGCCCCCAGTCTGCTATTCCTAGTGGATGAATCCAGAAACAGCCAGTTTCCTTGGGACTAAATCAAGCCCAATATCACAAAGGACTCTTGCATTTCTTTGGCTTTTTTCACATTTTCTTATTTATCATGGTTTGTAATGAATTTTCTGATGTGAGCTTTGGTTTTCATGCTGGAATATGGAGATCACGGCACGGGAGGAATGGTGTTTTTCAATCAGGGCACAGCTGTTGGCTTGCTCCAATTCTGGCTTGCTGTCATTCTTTTGGGTGCCTCAGGCAATTTTTGGTTTGTTGAGTGGCAATTTCATAAAGGTTTTCTGGGTCTGAGTTGGTTTTGCCTCTTGCTTCCAAAATTTTGTATTCTGAAGCAATACAAACAACAGTTTGGACAGAGTAGCCTTTATGGAATGAAAAAACACAATGAATTGGCCTTTTAAGCTTAGAAATCTACAGGCAACATGACCAAGATGAGTTCTTGTGTTTTGGAAAAAGAAATGGGACCCTTTTGCTGAGGGGACAGATATTAATTGCCTCCATACCAAGTTTGACTGCGATTTTCAGGTTAATTCAATCAGTTTTCCACAGGCAGTCAGCTCGGAGTTGTGGATGAATCCAGAAATAGTCAGTTTACTTGTGACTAAATCAAGCCCAATGTCCCTAAGGACTCTTTCATTTCTTTGGCTTTCTTAATATTTCTCTTATTTATCATGGTTTGTAATGAATTTCCTGATGTGAGCTTTGGTTTTGAGGCTGGAATATGGAGTTCAGGGCACAGGAGGAATGGTCTTTTTCAGTCAGGGCACAGCTGTTGGCCTGCTCCAATTCTCACTTTCTGTCATTGTTTTTGGTGCCTCAGCTGAGTTTTGGTTTCTTGAGTGGCAATTTTCTAAATGTTTTCTGGGTTTGAGTTGGTTTTGCCTTCTTCCTTCCCAAATTCTGTAATCTGACACAATACTAATAAGAGTTCAGATGGAGTAGCCATTATGAAAAAATGGAGGAATCTGGAACACATCATG